CTAACGAGAGGGAGTTTAGGTTGCGGTGTATCTCCTTTATTATCATTAAAAAGCTTTGCTGCAGCAGCAGCAAACCAATCTAATTCTTTTTGTATATCTGCTGCAGCAGCACCAACAAAAGAAAAGAAATCATTTGCAAGTGAAGTGCTTCCAGTGCCCAGTTGCCTTGCTGCTGCTGCTGCTGCTGCTGCTGCTGCTTCTGTTCCTGCTGCTGCTGCTGCTGCATCTGTTCCTGCTGCTGCTGCTGTCCCTGCTGCTGCTGCTGCTGCTGCTGCTGCTTCTGTTTGCTGCAAGAAGGAGATCTGCATGTGAGGAGAAGACAGCAGACACGGACGCCCCGCGTACTCCTGGACCTTCGCCCCTGCATGCAATGCAGCGCAGCCCTTCATGCATGCATGCATGCATGCATGCAACTGTCTATATACTTTGCATGCATGCATGCAACCGTCTATCTTCTTTGCTTGCATGCATGCATACAGCTCCCTATTGCATGCATGCATGCATGCATTTATTTTCATATTACGAGATGTGTATGAATTTTTGTGTATTTGTTTGTGTTAAGGATATATTTGCTGACCTCTAATTGCAACTAAAGGGTATTGTTCCAGTTGCGGCTGATGCTGCTGCTGCTGCTGTTGCTGCTGCTGCTGCTGTTGCTGCAGCTGCTGCAGCAGCTGCTGCTGCTGCTGCAGCTGCAGCACCTGGGAGCCGAAGAGAGTGAAGGAGACAAAAGAGTGCGACGAATCTACGATAATTATTTCTTTCCTCATTAATTCTTCGTTTCTTGTCTTTGTTTGTTTTATTTATTTATTTTTTTGTTCATTTGTTTTATTTATTTATTTGTTTGTTTGTTTTTTTGTTCGCGTGGAGATGATAAAAACACACAAACAGCACAGGGAATAAAAAAACAACAAATAAACGACTTAGATTTATTTATTTATTTATTTATTTATTTATTTATTTTACTGCATCTACCCTGCCCCTTTATTATTATTATCTGCTGCTAGTAAAAGAGAGAACAAACCCCTTGTATTAAAACAAACAAAAACATAAAAAATAAAAACAAATAAACAACAAAACAAAAACATTAAAAAAGCAAATGCATTAAACGCATCAACAAACAAACAAACAAACAAACAAACAAAAGAAATAAACAAAACAAACAAACAAAAGAAATAAACAAACAAAACAAACAAACAAAAGCCTTACTCTAGATAAGACAAACAACAAAACAACTAAACAAACAAACAAACAAACAAACAAACAAAATAAACAAATAAACAAACAAACAAAAGCCTTACTCTGGATAAGATGGTTTCTGTTTCTTTTACTTTTACGACAAACCCCAAGACATCGACAACACTACCGACAGGAAGAGACGAAATATCATTTAAATTAATTCTTTTGAATCTGCAGCAAAAACAAAATAATGCATTAAGGCTTCAGGTGTACGTACACCTCAACATAGACATAAAACACATGACGTGCTGCTGCGGTTTTAAATAATAAACAAAACAAAAAATTAAATAAAGAAAGTTAAAAAATATAATATAAACATAAAAAGGTAATAATGAAAAAAGCAGAAGAAAACATAAAAAGAAGACGCCTCAAGTAATATCAAAGACACAATAAATCCAGAAGAAGAAAAATAAAACAAAACTGTAATGAATATACACCAATCCTTAAATATTATATATATATATATATATATATATATACATATATATGAGTATACAACAATATATACATATTGATGTATATATGCATATAATATGTATTCATAAATATATACCTCTACGCAAGAATACATGTATAAACATATATATATATATATATATATATATATATACATGACGCACAGTAAACATACAACTAAACAAACAGCAGCCCAGTGTATATGAGTATGTGTTGCGGTGTGCATACACCTAAAAGGTATATGTATATATATACATTTTAGGTGTATGCATATATATATAAATTTATGTATATATATATATTTATATATATCGCTTACTTATGCAGAGGCACAGAGGCGTCATCTTCTTCTTCAATAATTTCTGCTGCAGCATCAAACTTAATTTGTACATTGTGCGGCAGCGTGTTATGTTGTCTGTGCAAGCAAACAAACAAACAAAAGATATAATAAACAAATAGATATAATAAACAAAAAGATATAATAAACAAAGAAAGATAAAACAGCAAAAAAAAAAGAAAAGCCGTTTGCTGTTTGTTCTTTGAACAATGCCTCCACTTAACAAGTACATATATATATATATATATATATATTATTTATATTTATATTTATATTTATATATTTATATTAAAATATTTATATTTATCTATTTAATTATATCAAACCTGTTTGTTCTTTGAAGAGTGCCTTTGCTAAATGCGTAAAGCCGCCCCACAGTTAGCCGCGGATACCAATGGGCGGCAGCACGCCCAAAAAATGTTGCGCGAATCTCACTACCCTGCAGCAGCAGCAGCAGCAGCAGCAGCC